TATAACATCGACTGAGATAAAAAATAAAATGAAATATTAAAAACATGATGTATCTCGTTGCATTGCGCGAGTACGCTTCTAGTATATATATATATATGAATTATTATACAACCATTTACATTTGTACAACTAATACAACTCAATCTCAACCGTCCATTTAATTTGATGAATATGTGATTTCATAAAAGTTCTGATTGTTTCCTACTATGAACGTTAGTCATCTTTCATAAATATTCAAATCTTTATAAATGAACTTTCATCATTTCCATAAATATTATAATTGATTGGGTTGCATTGGTTGTACAAATGTGATGAGTTGCATTTAAAACGTTCTCTCTCTCTCTCTCTCTCTATATATATATATATATATATATGAGGCTCATTCAAGGGAGAATTGACTAGTTTGTGGTAACCGTGAAATCCAATCTCAACCACAAATCAATAGATAAATTAGAAAATTTATAATTTTGAATTAAAATTTTAATGCAAAGACATTTTAGGTATTTTCTTTCCTCTCTCCGTCCTCCGGCCACCGTCCTCCGATGATATCACTATGATACCTAAATATTAGGCATGAGAATGGAGCTCGACCCATCGGAGAACCCGGTCCGCTCACCCCGGTCAGGGACGGGGATTCCCCGCTAAATCTGGGATGAGGACGGGGATCCCCATTTGTCTCAAATTGGGGATGGGGACGGGGACGGTATGGTACTCCCAGCCCCGAATCCGTTATATATATATATATATGTGTGTGTGTGTGTGTGTGTGTGTGTGTGTGTGTATTATTTATTTCAACTAAAGCAGTAGTTCACAATTTCTTATTTTCTAATTAGGTTTATAATTTAATTTTTTATGTTAATATGTAATATTTGAATGTCAAGTCAAAATACAATTACTCGATAATTTTGTATATTACTCAAACTCGATATGGTTTTATATTATTCAATATCTTTTGGTATACGAAACTTTAAGTTTCTCTGGATTTAATTGAATTTTTTTTGTTTTAAGTTATTAGTTCTTATATGATGTTGTGGTTTTTTTATATTAAATTAAATTCATTTTGGTTTTAGGTTTATTAGTTTGAGATTTAAACATGTATGATCTCTCACATATTTAATTTAAAATAACTTATATAAACGGAAAAAAAAATCTCTATTTCCTCGTTGAGGATCCCCATTCCATATTGGGGATGTGGATGGTGATGTGATTATATTCCCCGGCGTGATGAGGATGGGGACGGGGAAAAAGATAAGTAGTCGGGGACGGGGGATGGAGGTCCCCGCCCCATCCCCGCCCCAATCCATGCATGCTAAAGACAAAAAGATGCATTGTGATACCATTGTGTTACATCTTCGATCGACCACACAAACGATCTCAGTGTGATACCCAAGTACATATAAGATGCATTGTGATATCACTGTGGTATCACCGGAGGACGGTGGCTGGAGGAAGGAAGCCAGGGGCTGGAGGAAGGAAGCCAGGGGACGGAGAGAGAAGAGAGGAGAGATGAGAGAAAATACTTAAAATGTTTTTGCATTAAAATTTTAATTCAAAATTAACAAAATTATAAATTTCCTAATTTATCTATTGATTTGTGGTTGAAATTGGATCTCACGATTACCATAAACTAATTAGTTATCATTTTATTATATATATATATATATATATAGAGAGAGAGAGAGAGAGAGAAAGAGAGATGAGCGATCAAATGCAAACCATGTTATTTATACAAACCTTGCAAACCACCTTCATTTGTCGATTTCATTGTTTAATCTTATGAAAAAATTTATTGAATTGTTTAATATTATGAAATTGTTTCATATAATACTTATGAAATTTTAATGAAATTGTTTCATATATTTCTCTAAAATTAATATAATAAAGATGATAATATCCATGATTAACACACTCCACAATAAAAATAGTTAATCAACCTCTCATAATTACAAAAAAATAAACAAAAATGAAAAATTATGATTGGTTGAACACGGTTTATACAAATAACATGATTTACAAAATAAACCTTATATATATATATATATATATATATATATATAGGGGCAGGTTCAAATGAAAACCATGCAATTCTAAGAAACCGTGTAAACCAAATTCGACTAATAGAAAAATTCCATTCTTTTTTAATTAAATTTAATCAATAAGGGTATTTTGGTCATTTTCTATATTTTTATGATAAATAAGGTAGTTATTAATAAATATTAAATAAGGAAATTTAATAATGGAAATTTCTTGAATGGTAACATATTAAAAATTTTAATATATTATAATATTAAAAACTTGATTTGAATGGGGCATTCATAATGAAAATGTTTCATAATGAAACTGTTTCATAATGAAACTGTTTCATATGGGGCGAACTTCATTCCTAAAGTTCATGAAACTGTTTCATATGGGGTAAATTTCATGAAACTGCTTCATAATGAAAAGGTTCATAATGATGAAGCATGTTCATAATCTAATACTCTAGACATATTGTCCAAATTAATACTCTAGGCATATTATCCACTTTAATGAAAAAGTTTCATGAAACTGTTTCATAATGAAAATGTTCATAATGATGAATCATGTTCATATGAGTGGAATAAGGAAAATGAACTATTGATGCAACGGTTTCATCAAACGTTTCAAAACAGTTGAAAAATCGAAATAATATAATCTCTCTATTTCCTAATGAAAATATTGTAATGAATAGTTTCATAAACAAAGTTCAAAAAACAATGGTCATGAAACTGTTTCAATGTGAAAAGGTTTCATTGTGAAATGGTTTATTTGCTCCGTCTATGCATATTATACGTGTTAATGAAATAGGTGCTTTGTGATTGAAGTTTCATGGTTATCCTTGTTGCTTTGTAATTGAATGTACATCTAGGTTCATGATGATCCATGTTGCTTTGTGATTGAAGTTAATCTGTTTAATTGGTAAGATGAAAATGAAACGGGTGCTTAATGTATTGTGTTCTTTTATGAAATAAATATATGATGAAACGGGTGCATATTATATTTTGTTCTTTATGGAATTAATATTAATGTGAAAAATATTTCATTATAAAATGGTTCATTGATGTTATATTAATGTTAACTTTTGTTTATAGAATTAATGTTATATTGATGTTAACTTTTGTTTATGAAATTAATGTTATATTGATGTTAACTTTTGTTTACCAATTTGTCCTTATCATTGAAATAAAATAATTTTTTAATATTTTTTATTTTTTAATTTCCTAAAATAAAGTAAACTAATCTTAGCCATTGATCAAGAAAATGGACGGATGAGATTGGTTTACACGGTTTACACAAATGGGGCAAGTTTTTATTTGAACGCTCCTCTATATATATATATATATATATGTCATTACGAGGTCTTAGACCATTGCCTCAAGTGCCTAATGGTTAAGTTGGCCTTGCAAACCACACGTACGGTTTAATTAATAGTTTTGAACTATACCACACTACATAATAGAGATAGCTTAGTCCATTTGTTTAAGCGGCGAACATATACTCTTTAGATTAAATTGGTATAGGACATCGAAATAACTTGGTTTAGATTTATGAATAGAAGAAAGTATATATCATCTTGAATCATATAAATTAGGAAAATTAATATAAAATAGTCATTTTCACGTTTGGGATTCACCTCTTAGGTGCCGTTTACCAAACACTTGCATGAGTAAGCGCTTACCAAGTCACTTTACTTTATTGGATGAATATGACAATCACTAAAAATCTTACCCAGCAAGAGCGAAGACAAGAATCAAGAGTCTTACCATGGTTAGTGCTTACCGTGATAAATTGTTGCATACGATGCATTTTACTAAATAAAATCTTACCTAGTAAGTAAGCGATAGTGCTGAATTTTATCGGTAAGTGCTTACCGGGTAAGCGTTTAGGTAAACGGCCCCTTAGTAATTTCTTTCCCAAATTTCAAAAATATCATTAGGTTCGCAAGTGGCATCTCTTCAATCTCTGGAAAGGTCAAAATATAACAAAAAAAAAGGTTTTGAACAAGATCCGCAAGTGTAAAGACCAAACTTGTACACTAGATAAAGGGGTCTGCAAGTGGCACCAGGTGTCGGGACAAATTTACAGATTCCTGTCCCTGCACTTGTCTACCTGGTTCAGTAACTTCTTGTTTTTATACTTTTGACCCCTCTGGTGCCACTTACAGACCCAGTGACTAAAGTCTGAAAATGACTACTTTAATTAATTTCCTAATTAATACCAAGAGAGTCAAAATATACATGTGTGACTAAGCAAGACAAAATAATGACAATATTTCAAATAGGAAAGGGGGAGTAAAAAAGAGTCATCCTCCTGTAACTCACAAACTGTTGCCTATACATATACTAAGAAATATGGATTGAGTGTAATTTTGTCCAAAGTTTCATTCATCCATCATACCACTTCACTTACAAAGGTCTCTCTCTCTCTCTCTCTCTCTCTCTCTATATATATATATATATATATATATCTCAATGGGTCTTTTCTTTTAAGCACTGAAAATCTTCATATCTGATCTGAAAGAGGGCAAAATGAGTGAGATCCATATATAGCAATATAGTTTTGCTTTGTAAAAACCTTCAAATATTATACCAAAACTATGACCAGAAAATGTTGGTGTTAAGAGAAGTGATCAAGATTAATGGAGTTTGTTAATATCATGGACAAGGGTCATTGTCAACTTTATAAAAACTCATCATCTACCCACCTCTCCCTTCCATTTTCTTGCATCTTTCCTGTTCAGATTTGTGGGAAGGCCCTCAAAAAGCAAGAGAGAGAGAGAAAAGTTTGAAACTTGGTTGGTTTCTCTCCTCAATTATACATATTCATTCCTCAACCCACCCACTCTTTCTGTGCTCAAGTAATCAGCAAGGCCATCTGAAACTATATCTCATTTCTTCTCCTTAAAGTGAAGTATATGCAATTTACTTGAGGTATTCATGGAAAATTCTGATGCCATTGAGCTTGATTTCAGCTGCATCGATCGATCCATGTCGTCGTTTCCAAATGACTCCGGAGACATGTCTCCACAGAGAAAGCAAGGTAAGGGAAAGATCGAGATCAAGCGGATCGAGAACACCACAAATCGACAGGTGACTTTTTGTAAGCGCCGAAGCGGGTTGCTCAAGAAGGCCTATGAGTTGTCTGTTCTTTGCGATGCTGAGGTTGCGCTTATCGTCTTCTCAAGCCGTGGCCGCCTTTACGAGTATGCTAACAACAGGTATAATTGTTTCTCAAGTTCTTGGATCATCTTGCTTTTTAATTTTAATTTTAATTTTAATTTTAATTTCTTTTGTGGGGTGTTGTTTTATTCCTAAGATGATGCTTGATGACAACAACAAAAATTAGGTCAAATTTTATCTATCTTTTTAGGGTTAAACAAATAGTACATCAATAAATATCACATCTGGAGAAGATATGGACACGCTCTTCTGTTATTTTGTGACATATTTTTCATTTTTCAATTCTTCCAATGGAACAAACATTCATTTGTTTCTCATACATTTTGGGTCTTGTTTTTTTTTTTATTAACCTGGATATCCAACCCGCTACGGGTCTTGTTTCTTTCCCTCAAAGAGATCGTTTTGATTTTCTTGAATTGATCTTTTTATGATCCGATCTTTGTTTTCATATATGTTGTTGAAGATACCAACATTGGATCCACTGTTTGGATATGTTGCAAGCCAATGAGCAAAAATCTAAGAAGTGTATTTGCAGACCTCTGAGATCAGCTTCCCTTTTACCTTCATTACTGTTTGAGCTCTCTCTCTCTCTCTCTCTCTCACACACACACACACACAAAAGTAAGTGAAAGCAGAAGATGTTGTCAAGTTCCTATTTGCTAAAGACTTCCATAGATCAATTGGGGCCAGTTTTTTTAGGTCAATATGAACAAAATTAGGGTTCATAAATGCAAGTACTTTGCCAGTTCTTTTCTCCCCATTAATTGGGAAAACCCGAATTTTTCGATATATATACTGGGGATTATTAATAAAAATGCATATTGAAATGGGTTTAGTTTCTTGATGGTCAAAATTACCTAGAAAAAGAAAGAGATGTTTTAACAATCCATAATTAAAATGGTTTTTTTTATATAAAAAGGGCATAATTTATATGTGAATTCATAAATTAGGGTTTTATGATCCAGGATAAAAAGGAATATGGGGTTTATCTTTATCTAATAGAAATTAGGGTTTATTTTATTAATTTGTTTAGGTCTAAGGGGCTGTTTGGCAGTTGCTGAATGGTTTTGTGTAGAATCATTAAGTGGTCAGAATGATTAAGAGACTTTCATGATATAGTGCAAAATGAAATATAATTGTTTGGTAATTGTTTAAAATGAAATTAGGGCTCTTAATGATTAAGAGAGACTCATGATACAAAATTAAGAGTCAGACTTTTTTTTGTCAAACAAGACTCAGATTTTAACGATTCAGAGATTGTCTCTTAATGAAACTATTAAGAGGTAAAAGTCACTAACTTAACTTTTAAGTCTTTAATTCGAAAGAGAAACCAAGCTGTTAAATAGTTGATGAAAATGCTTTTAATTAACTCTTTAACAAATTGGCTGGTGGTTTTTTTATAAACTAACAACAATAGAGCTAAAGAAAATGAAAATTACAGTTAATGAAAAAGGAAATGAATTTTTATTTACTTTATTTTAATATGTAGGAATGAACTCATTATATTATATAAAATCCAAACAGTTTTTACAGTTAATACCTTTTACTCCACCCCTAAATAACCATACAGATTTTGGGCTTTGGGTTAGATTACCACAAAGAAATCTTCAATAAGAATGTTAAGAACCCTGATTTTACGTTCAGTTCTTTTTGACTTTGTGACATAACAAGTGATAACCATTTTTTCCCAGTTCCAGAACTCTTTGATGGTGAAATAAAACACACACACACACACACTAGTCTTTACCTTTGGGTTGTCCAGTAAACACTTTTCCCAAGCTTACCATGCTGTTGAAACTAAAACAGCAACCTATACAACACAAGAAGAGACACACACACATAGGGGCATATATATATATATATATATATATATGGTATATGGTATATTTCAAATACAATCATATCTATTTATACAACTAATACAACCCAATCAATTAATATTTATGAAAATGATGAGAGTTTATTTATTATGATTTGAATATTTATGGAAGATGACTAGAGTTCATTAATTATGACCAATATTTTATTTTAAGAAACAATCAAAACTTTTATATATATATATATATATATATATATGTCAATGTTGTTTTATAAACCAATGGAATCTAACAAACCGTCCAACTCCTAAATCAAGTAGTTTCGAGGCAGGATTATAGGGAGCTTATATTAACCTCACCCAGACAAGGTATTTATAAATTGTGTGGTTCATTATTTAATTGAATAAAATTGTTTCATGAAAGTGTTTTAATATGATAAAATTGTTTTGTATAATTCTTTTCTTCATAAAAATTGTTTCATATATTTTTGTTTTTTGTGTAAATGAAATTGTTTCATGTATTTCTCATTTTGATGAAATTTGTGTCATATATTATTTATTAATCAACGATCGTATATTCTTGATGAAATTGTTTCATATATTATTGACTAATCAACCCAAATAATTAAGAAAAAATGTCATTGAATAAGGTTTATACGATTTGTTAGATTTACATGGTTTGTAAAATAACCATCCTATGTGTGAGTGTGCGCGTGTGTGTGTGAAATTGACTGAAATGACCATTCCTCTTTAATCAATTGGTCTCCTAGTTTTACCCAAATTGCACCATCTCTGAAAATGGCATTTCTCTAACTTACGGAGGTAGCTAAAAGAAAATAAATTACAATTTCTACCTAGATCTGCAAATGGCACTTCCCTAACTTGTGAACTTGGACAGAAATTACAGAGGTGAAACTTGCGGATTTGGGTAAAAATTATAATTTTTTTCTTCTCTTAGCTACCTCCGCAAGTTAAGGAGATGTCACTTGCAAGAGTGTTAACATTTGGATAAAGCGGGGAAAGTAATGATTAGGAGACCAATCGAAATGAAGAGAGAAATGGCTGGGAGAACAATCGACATAAAAAAATGGTAATTTCAGTAAGGGGCCGTTTACCAAATGCTACCCGCGAGTAACGTTACCTTACCAGATGAATATGACAAAAACCAAGAATCTTACGCGGTAAGAGCAAATACAAAAAACAAGAGTCTTACCAATAAGTGAATGTGACGACTCTTACCCGGTTAGAGCTTACCGGGCAAATTGTTGCATACGGTATCATTTAATGGACTAAAATCTTACCCGGTTAGTAAATGATAGTATTGAATTTTACCCGTAACCGCTAAACGGGCCCTAAATTTCCCTATATATACATAGAGAGAGAGAGACGCTCACAAGAGGCATATATATATATATAGAGAGAGAGAGAGATTGATAATGGTTTGTCTCAAATTTAGGGCATTAATCATAGATCTTGCGTAGGTGAGAGAGAGATAACAAACAGGGGAGCCAGTGAGAGGGTATCTGATGCATGGGGAGAGAGGAAAGCCGTACAACAATGTCTGCTGCCATGAAATGGACGCCTCTGATTTACTCAGAGCTTACAGAGAGAGAGAGAAAGAAAGAACAGAAGTTTACGAGGAGGGTAAAAGGGTGAGGGTTAATCGAATTACCCATGGTGTAAAGGGTTCTCGACACGTGGCCAAAATCTGGCCGTAGAAAGTTGTAACCAATCATAATGATAGGAGTATTGACAGCGTGGCAGAGACAACCAATCAGTAACTTGGACCAAAAGAAGGTAATATACAATATGTGTTTATATGGTATCCTTAAGATCTCCGAGAGAAAGTGAGATTTTATTCACTTTCGTACACTTTGTGTTTCCTTGAACCACACAAAAATCCTACGGTTTCTAATGCTTTTATCATTTCATAGATTGACTCAAGATTTAGCAAAGGGGTTGTTATTGATACTCACACTATTCCATGTTATATACATGTTCCTTTTTATCTTAAAATCAGATCAAGTTATATACTGCAAATGTAAATAGTAAGTCTTGATGTTGTATCAGTAATATATAAGAATGCATTTAAACCATCTCATTTCATATGCTTTTTTCGCTCGCACCAATTACGTTTCATACCCCTTTCTCGTTTGCATACCACTCATATGGGTATGAACAGAATTGACCTTCAGTAAACCAAGAAAAAGAATTAGAGCAGAACACTGAACACGACATACTTATGTTAGTTGGTTATATGATTTCATTATATATCATATTATGTCTGATAAAACAATGACATTTGATATATTTTACTTGAAAGTAAAATTTTGTGAAATGGGGTGTATGCAAGTCTTATTTGTATTTCAAAGACTTACAGAGTTTGTTTTCTGTGAACACCCTTGACTCGACTCCAAAAGGTGTCATCACCCGTTTGGCCGTTCCCTTGTTCAGTCATTCCTATATTTGGAAGAGGAAGCTTTGTCTGGTTCAAGATATAAGATGGTTGGCTTGAATTTTGTGGATCGATTGATGGCTAAATTTGCTGATACCAATCTATTAAAGTAAACTAAATGACAAAAATACTCAAATACATAGTCTTAGATTAAGTTCATATATAGTAATCGATTGCTATGGAAATTGAATATGTATCTGAATGCATCCTCAAGAAAAGTCATATATAGAGACAATGAACTTTCTTATCTTTGCCAGTATGCATCAATGTTATGATGCAAATCTCGTATGCAGACATAACCATTAATCCAGAGAGTGGAGCGACTGCTTCCTTGAAGACCCATGTCTTTCGAAAAAGTGTGTGATCTTGACGATGCTTATGATCTTGATGCTATACATTATGTCGAGTTATGTTTCCATTTCTTCGCACCATCGTATGTAGTTTGGGATTTTTTGACCATCACTGTATATTTTAGTTCTACTTCATTCATCTTTTCCTCGATTCTTAATTAAAGATTTATGCTAAACTTCTTTTTGAACATTATAACATTTGTGTAGGAATGACCATTCTCCAATTCCCCCTCTCAACTTTCACTTTTCTCGTAGTATAAACTAATAACTTGTAATGTTGATGGTGCTCATCTTCTTGTTATTGCAGTGTTAGAGGAACGATCGATAGGTACAAAAAGGCGTGTCTGGATCCACCTAGCGGTGGCTCGGTTGTTGAAGCCAACGCTCAGGTACCCTTCAGAACTTAGACTCGCTACGAGCATATGAGCATCCACAATAGTGGACATTTTCTTCAAAGCCTTTTGCAAAAAGAAGGGGGACCCACAAACAAAAAAAGAAAGCATTTAGAGAACTTGTAACTGCATAAGCAAAAGGAAGTTTTTCGTTAACGGGGCTTTCCTAAGCTTAGATGGTCAAAAATACTCTCCGAAAAATCTCTATTGTGGATGCTCACAAAAAGCCACTAATGGTTGGACCTGTTGTATATGTGTAACCTATCTGAATTCTCTATAATATCCCTTATAGAGAGAGAAAAGGTTCCTAATGAAATTCGATATAATGGCTTTTCAATACAGTTTTACCAACAAGAAGGTGCAAAACTACGTCAACAAATCGCAAACCTTCAGAACCAAAACAGGTACCTTTCTTAGATGTCATCATTATATACTTCTGTAAGCCAAAGGTCTTTACAAAACCAACCGTTATACTCTTTAGGGTATATCTTTATATGTCACGTATGCATACATCTTATCCTCTCCAGACCTCATATCTGAAACATACTTAGATTGTTTGGTTTGGTTTTAGATATTCATTCATATAGATCTTTATAAACACAATATAATCATAATCCTTTTGTGGAAAAAGGCAATTTTACAGGAACATCATGGGTGAATCTTTAACAGACATGCCGGTGAAGGATCTCAAGAACCTCGAAGGCAAGTTAGAGAAAGCGATCAGCAGAATCCGATCAAAAAAGGTAGCTCCAATACGATTTCATTTCGTTCTCTAAAGCTACATTTAGGAACCAGCTTTCTATCCATTTCTAACCTCTGAAAGCTTTAGAATTATAATTTCTACAGATTCTGATGCTATTTTCTTTCTGATGTCATATATATATATATATATAGGAGCGATCAAATGAAAACCACTCCAATTTGTAAAAACCGTAAAAACTACTATCATTCGTCGATTTCATTGTTTAATCTTATGAAATTTTTTTCATGAAATTGTTTAATCTTGTGAAATTGTTTCATATAATATACTACTTAATGAAACTGTTTCATGTATTTCTCTAAAATTAATGAAACTGTTTCATGTATTTCTTTAAAATTAAAATAATGAAGATGATAATATCCATGATTAACATCATCCACAATAAAAATGATTAATCAACCTCTCATAATTACAAAAAAATGAACAAAATGAAAAATTATAATTAGTTGAATGAAGTTTGTACGGTTTGTACAAATTAGGTGGTTTTTATTTGAACGCTCCCCTATATATATATACTAATTACTTCAGTATTCTAACATCTTTTTTTGATCAAAAATTGTAGAATGAACTGTTATTTGCTGAAATCGAGTATATGCAAAAGAGGGTAAGTGATTCTGAAACTGTAATACAAGATTCGACATTTTGTTTTCGGAGGCAACATTATTTTTCTCATCATAAGTTGTTGTTGTATGCTATTTAATTTGTATAATTGTATATCGAGCGTATATATACGGTTCTCCGTATATTGAAAGATACAAAATTTTAAAGTCTATATATGTCGAGTTCCTAATCATGAATTAATCCTTTCCGATGGAGGACATTTTTGTAATGCAGGAACTTGAATTGCATAACAGCAATCAATTCCTCCGAGCGAAGGTATATCTCTCTTATCCGTTACAACAAAATCGACTTTATAAGACGTCAAATATGTCTAAATGTCGTAATAGACTACTTTATAAGACTTATGTTTATAGAACCAAATAATTGTACATCCAAGGTAAAAATATCATCAATAAAATGTTATGACGTATTTGGACATCCTAACAAGTTTGTTATAACACTTTTGAAATACACTGTCATATTGGTTTTTTTTATAGTACAATTTTAAGAAGTGTGCCATAAACGCTTTTATTTATTAGACATTTTTTATTATAAAGTGCGACGTTTTATTTCAAAAGTATCATGAAAAACTTGTTAGAATACCCAAAAAAGTCGTATATATCAACTTATTGTAACACTATTCTAAAAAGCAAAGTTGTTTGGCACTTTAAATTTAATTATTATAAAAGAATCTATTAGAACATTTAAACATATCTGACGTTGTAGCGATCTATTACATAAACCGGCCAAGTTCATCGATTTTATTCGTTTGATGATTGTTTAGATAGCTGAAAATGAAAGAGCTCAGCAGCAGCAAATGAGCTTGATGCCAGGAAGTTCCGATTACGAGCTCGTGCCACCTCACCAGCCGTTTGATGGTCGAAACTACCTTCAACCGAACGAGCTCCAATCTGATAACAACTACTCTTGCCAAGATCAAACGCCTCTCCAGTTAGTGTAAGCATTACTGATCAAATCTAGATCAACAAACCCTAGAAGTTATAAACTCCACAGACTCGTTTAATTTCTTGATGATGAATCGAAAAGCCCCATCTCCACACACACACACACATACACACATATGTATATGTATATATATATATATATATATATTTGTTATATGATGTTTGTGATGGATTGGGTGAATGGATTCTGCAGGTAATGACGATGATGGAATTAGGGTTTCTGATGATGGATCTCAAGTGGAGCTGCAATAACCTTGATCATAATGCATGATAATTAACAAGAAGTAGACGACTGATGATATAATCTGGTTGCTTTAATACTGAATTCCTGTGAATCTATATAAGAGCAAGAATTCTGAATATGTAGTTTTAGTATCATCGTCTTGGTGTATGCAATCTATTATAATACTGTGAAGCAGCAGCTTATATATATGTTTCTTGTTGTAATCGTCTTTCTTACGTCATGCTGAAATTATGTTTGGTTGACTAGAATAAAATTGGTTTAGAGTAC